ATAATGATAATTAACACATTGGTGGGGTCCAAACTTGTTAACAAACCCAGCTTCTCTTCCTGGGGCTGCAATATACATGATCCTAATACATGCTGTTGGTTTTCTTAAGTGAATCATTTTGGTATTTCATTCTCAAACCTATGAAACCCAAAGACCTAATTTTTAACAAATGTTTACAAATTTTAATGTATTGTTAATAAATATTGTGTAATGGTTACATTGCTATTTTGAAAAGAAATTCACAGATATTAATTGATTTTTAAGGACATACACAGTAGTCTCACATAAAGAAGAAACAAAAGGAAAGTTATTCAAAATAAAATATTACTGTTTCCTTTATGTAGATGCTTGGTTACAACTAGGCTAGAAGAGCTAATCGAACACTCAGGTACCTGTCCGTGTAGCATCACTGTAATGATGATGGCTATAAAAATAGACTGGTCCAGGAGCCTTCTTTTGATGAGATATATACTACTGGTAATGCTGTTCTTAATCTTATGAACAGATGTTGGTCAATTTCTGAACAAAACAATGTTAATTATTTCCATCATTTATATCTTAGTAGCATTCTTGCAAAATTCAATGCACCTTAAAACCATGCAAAAGTGCTTTTTGCTTCTGTGTAATATGGAGAAATGTGGTAGGCTTAGAAAGGTGTGAACAGGTTCTTAACAACCACAGATGAAAAGTTGTGAAGGATACAGGCTACCCTTCCTCCTGTGGGATTGTCACATGTATCACATAATGTTTAAAATGTGTGGCTTGTGACCACTAAAAACTAGTGACAATAAGAAAATACCCTCTTACACATTTCTAAAATACCTCCTGGGGAGGCAGTAATTCTTCCAGTAAGAACCATTGACCTAGATGCTTGGTATAAAACCTGCAATTTTGTTGATGAAATTTTTATACTCAATCAACTCTGCCTTAAAATTTATCGAGAAAGCCTGGATGAACCTTGATGAGAGCTTCCCTGTTCCACCCTTTGGATCTCATTTTATAGGTTGCTCCTTCTCATTCTTGTCCGTAGGTGTCAAGCCAGCCAATCTGGGGAGTCAATTCCTTCATCCTCTAGAAGCCCATCAAATCTATAAGCATTGCTGATAAATCATAGCATAACACTTATTTCTCCTTGCTGCCAATATCTGTTATTAAGATTCTGTGCCCAGTTTCATATTCCATAATGTGATGTCTTCTTTCTGTATATGCAATTCACCCATGCCTGTTGACCTAGGCTTTTGACCCACTGTCCACTTCTGATCAATAATGCCTCACATCCTCGATGCCTTGACTAGCCTACATTGGATTTAGACATTTAAGCCTAAATGGTTGTGACTTATGACACATGTAGGAGCCTTCACTAGACACCTCACTGCTCTGATTCCTTCCTTAAGTCCACTCCTGGGTCCACCGTGCCTTGGAGAACCGCAGCCATTTTTACTGAGCACACTCTCTGTACCCCTTTCCTTGCTTTGCTTCAGTACTTTCGATACTGTTTCCTCGCCATGTTACCCATGTTTGGGCATGAAAAACAAAACCCCCGGAAGAGGCAAAACAACGAGAAAACATGGAAAGAAGGACATTGAATAAAAGAATCAACACCACAAGCATAGTGACAATTAGAAAGAAATACGGATATTAGAGTGTGGTTACTTCCTCAGCGTGTTTTTCTTTCTTCTATTGCCTAATAGCCCCAATTTAGGATTAAATACCATGAGGACAGGGATTTTGTTTTCTTGTCTATTGTGTGCTATTGATTCACCAAATTTTGTCCAATGTCTGAACCACAGCAGATAGCCAATAACATTTGCTGGTGAATGAATGAATGAATGAATGATACCATCATGAGTCATGGCAGTAGTAAAAGGTAGTTTGTGTGAAAGTGTGAAGTTTCAAATCAAATAGTGAAATGACCTACACACTGATCTTAATTATAATGGTTAATTTCAAATTAGGTAAATTACTTTAAACATCTTTAAAAACAGAGTAATATTTTCCAGTGTATTTTTATGACTGGTAACAGTGTTTAAATATATATATATATATATTAAATATATAAATATAAATATATACATAATTATATTCCTATTCTAGAGAATTTGACTTAAAATTTAAATTGTACATTTTTAAGAACTGTCATTACTTTCCCTGATTAAGTGCCCGACAGCAACAACAATCGCTCAATTGTTTAATTTTCCAATTTGAGAAATTTCCATTTGTTTGTGCATGGGTAATTCACTTTAAAAATTACAGTAATATTATCTTCTACTTGAACCTGAATGGTAAGATACAATGCTATATTTAAATCGCTTCAAATCAAACAAAAGTGTCACTCTTCTAAAACTGGCATATTTTGAACTATAAAATATGATGCATTAATTGATAAAAATATTTTAACTATCAGGTCTTATTCCTAAAAAAAATTAAGTAAAATTCCCATAAAAATATATTTTCTTCAACTTTGGAAAAGTGATTTGAAAAGTCAAGAGGTACAACACGTAGTATTTAGGTGTGATTTCTGTACCACATGACTCTTTGGGTATACAAACAGAAGAAACAATAATGATTTCTCTTTTAGCATTGAGTAATATAATTTGAAAATAATAAGTCATCAATTTTCTGGTCTTCTCGTGACCTAGGGAATTCACAATATGCCGTTTTATAGGAACTGTCAGAAGCAGGAGGCAAAAGATGGCAGCAGTGAGTCGTTCCAAGATCTAACACCACCCATGATCATTTTATTTTATTCTTCAATATTATCAAATTTTGCTTTTAATAATATCCTAAGTTATGAGTTATTTTACAAGAACAGAAATCATCTTCCCTCTAAAGACGTCTATAGGGGACTGCCTGCGGGGGGTCCTTTCCAAGGCATGTAGTTAATCAGTAGGGTTTGCTATAGCCGCTTTTCTCAAAAATAACCCTAAAAAACTTTGAAAATTATTTTCTTAACTTACATTTATATAGGCATAAAAGACACATCTATTTGCTGTGGATATTATTTTACCTGCTTTAAAGTTAATCCAAAGTGTAGCCGACCTACCCTCAGAGTCTGCGTTCCCACCTCCCCAACCCCCCAACGCCCCACCCATGACTTCCTGAGTCAAAGGCTGCAAACAGGAGTACATGTTAAACATCGTTTTTCAAAAATCTAACCAAAGCTACAGTGAAAACAGAGAACATCCTTTAAAATATAATGTGGCCTAATGGACACAGCACTGCTAATTCGTCTTGTACCAAATACTCCACAGTAATGGAACTGTCTTTCTGAGAATTAAAAAAAAAAAGAAAAAATACAGTTCACAGCTGCTGAAAAGTGGCCCTGAAGTGTCTTCCTTCAGAGGAGTCTGAAGTATTTTAAGAAGCAGCCAGCTTCAAAACTGGGAGCCAGGCTGGCAAACTACTCTTCGAGGTGCGACCAAGCCTATCGAGGCAGGAGCAGCCCCAACGGAGGAGGATGGATAATGAACATTTGCACCGTTGTGAAAAGTCCTTGCTTAATCTGCTGTTTTTAGCATTTATTTCTACCTGTTTAACCTGTCTAAACGTTCCTCCTTTGCTCTTCCTTCAAACTATATTTTAACTTCCTCCGAAGTATAATAGAGGATAGCCCCGGATAAATATTCAAGGCATTTAACTTTGTTGGATAATCTCTTCTGACATAAAAGAGAAGCACTTGGTTACTGAGAATTACCAGCCCCTCGAATCCCTCTGATTACAATTTCCTCACGCTGTCATGCTTATCTGTGTCTCAGACACCAGCTCTGGGGAGGGGAGAAGTGGGGAAAATTACCACCTTAGACAGTCTGGGATCTGCAGTGTCAGGGATGGTGAGCTGTGGCATCATTCGGAAGGGCATTGCCCTGGTCCCCGGGCACGCCCCGCTCTGCCCGCTCAAGGCTTGTAATTGCGGTAGGGGCGAGACCCGTCATGACTTCCCAAACAGAGGGACACGGGTGAAGGCCCAGAGGACTTCTCTGGCACAAGACAAGGGTCTTGTTTTCTAACAAGACTTTTCACTGTTCCCTGCTGTATTTCACAGCAAGGGAGGCATAGAGAGGTCCCCATGGAGTCAGTGAGCTGTCAAACCAGGAGGTGACACAGAAAACTCATCTGAAAATGACGGGAACAATGCAGGAGGTATAGGAAGCCTATGGGGTAAGGAACAAGTGAGGGTTTTCATCTTAGCCTGGAAGAGGAGGAAGACGAGGAGGAAGGGGAGAAGGAAGAGAAGGTGGCAGAGGTGCAGCAGTTGGAAAAGAGAAGAGGGGGCGGCGGAGGAGGAGGGGTATTTAGCATTGCGCTCAAGTTCCAGACTAGACAAGGGTCTTTCTTGCAGGAAGTTTACATACATTTCAGGTACAAAACCGGCGGCATTCCGTTTAAGGAGAAAGTCTCTCCACCCGCGAAAAGCACGTTAAATCTAAGCACTGGGAGTGACGGTGAGAATGGACAGACGCTGTTTGGGAAGACCAGAGAGGGATGTCCTGCCTTCTTTGCTCTAGAACCACAGGATTTGAGAGGCCCCACCTGTACCCAGCAACAGGTACATTTAGCCTGCCCCTGCCTCAAAGCGCACACACGCTAGCTTAGAACCCCCTCCACCCCTGCCCTTTGTTTGCAGGCTGACATCTGCCCGACCACAATAAACTGCCAGCATCTTGCAAGTAAATGAAGGAACCAGCCCTTTGAGGACTGGTCCAGCCCAGGGTTCCAGGCTTTCCTCCGGTCCTTTCCAGCTTTCTCCTGGTTCGCGAGCATCCACCCATCTGAGGGCCGGGGTGTGCGTTCCCCAGGATGCTCGGCTCTCTCCCAGCCCGCGGCCTCCTCCCCTCTCTCCTGCTGCTGCCGCGAAAACCAGGAGAAGTGGAATGCGCACGGCGAAGCGCGGCGCTCTGGCGGCGGCACTGGGCATGCTCGGCACCCAGGGCAGGTTTGGGCGGCGGGGCGGACGCTCCCTCACTAGCCGGGCGC